AGCGCTGTGTTTAACTCTTCCACTTCTTGTTCATGTTTTCTATGCTCTCTTTCCGACTGCGCTAACAATTCTGCTATTTTCTTATTCAGTTTTTCTTCTAGTTCTTTTCTCTGGTTCTCATTTTTATCATTTTGCTCCAAAAACTGCTGATTGTGTTTAACTATCAGTTCGCGTTTATCTAACTGAACTTTAGTTTGTCGTTTATTTTCTTTAATTGAGAGCATACGTAATTCTGATCGAGCTTTTGCCATTTGTTCCATGCGCTCTTCAATTAAATTTATAGTGCTCGAATAAGTTAATATTTGAGACATAAGGCAGTTTATAACTCGCATTATATCTGCAAAAGGTAAATGATAAACGGTGTACATATTTAGAGCTCTTAAAATATGTGGAAACCGTAACCGAAGTATTAATCCTGGATCTTCAGAGTTGCTATAACCATTGCGATATGCTATACGCCATTTCTCAGCTCTTTCTTTAACAAATGCTCCAGACGACAAGATATGTAGACGAAGTACTTCAGATACCGTAAGAGAGTCAAGAGGCAATTCATTAATCTTAAATGAAAAATGTCTCTTTGAGTAGATATGTGTTCTACTTGCCTCCGACATGCTCACTAACGGTTCCTGATTATTCAAGGTTTTTTGATGTTGTATAATATATTCCACAGCACAATCTTCTTCTTCTTCCTTTTGCAAATCAAAAATAGTCCCTATTAGTACCAGCAATATATCTGACAGTGGTCCTGCCACTTCACGTGCCGTGAATGCACGAGACATTTCCATAAAATTTAAGTTGCCGCGAAATACCTCAGCGCCAGAAAGGATACCAGAAAATGTATGCATAAATTCTCGTAACATAAAAGCATCACCCAAAAGTTTATTCGGAATAATGGTTGTAATGGGTGTGAATTTTGGTAACAAACGCTGATCTTTCCTTTCTAAATCGTCTGTCTTTACTAAAAGTTCCGTACATTCCTCTTCTATTTTTTCCATAAGTTTAGCACGTTTTTCTAGTCTCTCACGTTCTTTCTCTTCCTTTAAAAGCTTCGCTTTTGCCTCAATTATTTCCATTCTTTCCCTTTCAATCCTTGCTTGTTCATCGAGAATTGACTTTTTATTCTTCTCATCTTTGATTAAATAATTACTTATCGATGCTTGCTTTTTGTTGTTTTCTTCATTAGGTTTTTTTATCTTAGCCGGTGTAAAGTATGGCATTTTACCAATGAATATTGAAGAAAATATAATTTTTCGATCTATAATATAAGTTTTATAAGACTCTGGATTAGGTCGTAATATTCCTTCTATTCGACTAACATTATTTCGAATAAACATATGTAAATTTTCTGATGTTAGTTCAAACTGTTGACGACGTACGCTTTTAAATGGAACTACAGTTTCTGTGTGAGGTTGCTTTATCCGTTTTACCCTATATTGAATTTCTTCAGTATCATCATACACACCATTTTCAGGTGGTGTCCCCTTTGGCGGGATAATTTCTATAACTTTATATGCATCACTTGATTTATTATAGATTGAAATTTCTTCATTTAAAAAGAATCTTCTTCTTAAAAACTTCGACAATATCGAATGAAGTGATCCAATAGAGGATTGTTTTGCCTCCTCAATTACTAGCATTACAACAGGGCGCAAACTATCTTTAAATTGTTCCATTTTTCTTCTATATTTGCGCTCACTTTTCAGAGCTTCTGCATATGTTAGGTTTTCTCGACCAGTGGCCTCACATTGCCAAACTGTCGAGTTGATCATCATTACATGTCTGAAGTAATCTCTGTGGAATATATAAAATTCTATATAAAAACTGATGTAAATGGTAATCGAAAAATAATTTTTTTATATAAACAAAAGGTAGTTACTCGGTGATTCGAATGTCCTAAGTGACACCAAAACAAATTATGGAGAGCAGTTGGAAAATTGTGTTCAAAACTTATGAATGGCAAAAGAATTGGAAAAAAATTAAAAAGAGTAAAAGATGAAATGGAATTTGGCGGAATGTAGAAGCCACATTATACAAATTGCTAAAAGATTATAGCAATTATAATATAATACCTTTGACATTACACTTCAAATAATTTTATGTATGTATAGGAATTTTCCACATAACATAAGGTGACATTATCTTATTAATGATAGATAAAGATACAGTATTCACTTAGTGAGAAAACAAAATAGTCGAATATATTCGTTTTGTTTTGAATAAAATCGTAATGAAAGATTTAATAAAAATTACTTTCCATAGCAAACTATGCTGGAATGCAAAGAGTTTGTTTAAGCTAGTCGTGATTTTCTTAAAACATATGCAATGCATGTATACAATGGAACGAAAATACGCTTCCATATTAAAAAATTATTTTTATTATTGTAAACAATAAGTATTAATTTGTTGTAAATGTCTTGTCCAAAAAAAATAAAGAGATAATTAATCTTATGTGTAAGTCGTGTTTAATGTAATATACAACATATGAATAGGTTTTATTATTTACGAGTGTGGTTGGCAACTCTTAAAAGTAGCAGCTGTATGTCGAAGCATCCCGCGCTTGCCGCAATGCATTTTAACGCACTTTAAGCATAAAATGAGCATTATAACCAACAATTAATGGTGGTAAGGAGCGAGAAGAATATGACGAAAGAGAGAATATAAAAGAGGTGCACCAGCTTAAAGATGTATGCCTTTTTTGCAAATCAACAAAAATATATATTTGACAATACAAATGAAAATTTAGTTAATAATTTCTGTAAAACTTTTTTTTTTATTCGTGAACACGCTCTATAAGTACTTACTCATATTCCCGGAAGATCTCTTTTGTTACCTCGCAGAAAAAAACTTCTTCGTTGTCATGAAAAGTGTCATTGCTTTTGGGAGGATTATTTCCAAAGTCACGCTTACAAATTGGCATTATAAAATTTACTATATATATACTCTTAAATTAAACTTATTCTTTTCTAATGCATAGAAAACTTGCAGGAAAATAACTACATATATAATCAATCCATAAGAGCGTCCGTACAAAATTAATATTTTAAATTAACACGAAATGTATTTCAATTTGAACAATAAAATTCATTTATTTTGATTATAACTTATCAGCACAACTGATCTTTTCTTAATAAATTTTTATTAATTCTTATAGAAATAATATAAAATTGCCACTTTCGCGCTTTTTCACACTTCTCGACTTCGTAGCCAGTATTGTCTATTTTTCTGTTTGTGTCGTCGCGTTGTTTCAGATTGACATTTTATTACAAGTGCTGCCAGACAGAAATCTTCTTTGAATTGAACCCGACCATTCCTGCAAGTTAGATTTCCTATGATGTGGTATATGATACAATAATTCTATGTTCAGACACCCAAAGTTCCTTAATTTCGTAAAAATGAAATTAAGTTAATTTCGAAAGTGTTTATTCCGCCCCAAATTAATGTCAGTAACAGTTGACTCTAAAAAATGACTCTGGAAAATATTTTGAGAGTATTGTAAATTTTTCAATTTGAATGTAGAGAAAAAACTGTAACTGTTATTAATTTAAAATGGAGTGAAAAATAATAATTCACATACCTGAAATCCACTAAACCTACTAAAACTATTAAATTCCACCCTTATAGTTATAATAATCAACTTTTAAAATTTCCCACATACAAATGGTGTTCATGTAATTTTTAACATTCGATTTATAAACAAAAAATATATAATTTCTTTAATTTAGGGCAATATGAACACTTTTGAAATTAATTTAATTTCATTTTTACGAAATTACGAAATTTAACTGTCTGAACATAGTATAAGATTGTGTATGATTTGTCGCAATAAATTGAATTTATTTCAATTACAAACTTAACACATTTACGCAGGTAATCATACATACATTATTATGAACAAAAGTCGAGGTGCTTCATAAGAGCACAAAAAAAAAGACAAAGAGGAACGAAAAAGATATCTATGTAAGAATTGGCAAATAAACGAATGAAAATCCCATTATACTTGTTAAATTCTATAGTATATTATTAAGTGTTTACATTGCGAAAACTCAATCGATAAAATCTGTACAATGAAAAACAATTTATATGTTTTATGAATAAAACTGTATCGAATAAAAAAGGGGGTAATGATTATGCGAATTCATGGACAGGCCATGTAGTTGATTCGGATTCCGCCAAACATTCATCACCAACGATCTTTGAAAATATGTTAACTAAAATCATATATTTAGTGAAGAATTAAGTTTAATGAAATTAATTTATAAATCCAGAAGGTGCATTTGTAATTAAGATATGCAGTAGGTACATTGCGGTGCTTCTTAACAAGAAATAAATATACAACAGATATATACTTTATGCACGTTCAAACTACAGTCATTGCAGTCCAGTTGTATGGAATACTGTAGCAAGCGATATTTTAAGTCGTATGAAATACTTCTGTAATATCCCACTGTTATTAAGTACCGCCGAACACACCGTACCGAAATAGCATGAACATACATTAAGTATAATTTATTTTAAAAAATCGTGACAGTTTGTCCTGCAGATTTTTCAATAATTTTGTTATCCCTATATATTACGTTAAATCAAGGTGCATCCTCTCCAAAGCGAATTCTTGCGAACGAACAAATATTCGCAGGTTTAAATTTTACTTATAAAACATATGATAAATATATCAAATTTTGGTAATTTCCGTTGTGGGAAATTTATTTTTAAGCGTTGCATTTTACAATTTGGTCTAATTTTCCTTAATATATTTTTAAGTAAGTTAAAAAGCGAAGAAGGTCGAAGAAGCTCTTCGAAATTTACTTAGTAAATTACACTTACTAAGTAAGCGATGGTAAGCTAACATACTATTATATTTGTAACAAAATAAATATGTGCTATAAAATAGAAGGAATTTTAAGCTATAACGTTAATATACTAATTACTATTTTAAAAATAAACATTTTTATTTGCAGATAAATAACTCTTTAAAATTACTTATATATTACTGAAATTTTTTATATATTGCTATTTCTATTTAATGATTTATAAATTTGCTATCTTTTAAACATTTTTCAGAGAAAAGCTAATATTAAATTACAACTAAAAATTTTCTTGCATTTCTGTGGGGATACTGTATGGGCTGCCTAAAAGTGGTGAAAATTTATTTACTGCATTTAATAATTTAGACAAATGAATAATTTGTTGCTCCGGTTTACGATTAAGGCAGTTGCACATCCGTATCGAACGATGTCTAACTTTATAGAAATTCCAGTGCAAACTAATAAACTAATACAATTAACTAAAACTACAATAGTGCCAAAGTTAAATGACAATAGACATAAAGGTCAATATGGCCGCATTGGAATTATTGGAGGTTCATTATTTTTTAATTTATTTTAATTATAGTATATATGTATAAATATTTTTTAGGTTCATTGGAGTATACTGGTGCACCCTACTTTGCAGCATATACCTCCCTGAAAGTTGGTGCAGACTTAGCGCACGTATTTTGTTCGAGAGAAGCGGCTGCTTGTATTAAATCATATAGTCCAGAATTGATTGTGCATCCTCTGCTGGATGTTGACGATGCATTGCAAAAAATTGAACCTTGGCTAGAACGGTTGCATGTATTGGTATGTTTTTTTAAATTTGTTTTAACAATGTAAAATAATCGTTAAATTTTAGGTTGTCGGGCCAGGCCTTGGCAGGGATCCAAATATTTGTAAGACTGTTATAAACCTGATCAATATGTGCCTCAAAATAAATAAACCACTGATAATTGATGCTGATGGTTTGTTTTTATTAAATGAAAATATTGATATAATTAGTGGTCAACGCAATATTATATTAACTCCAAATGCCATAGAGTTTCAACGCCTATTTAGCAATAATGATATAGAGAAAAAACAAAAAATGTCCAAGTATGCACAGTATAAATGTTTTTAAATAAATTAAAATGACTTAAATATACTAATAGATTAGGCCGAGGTGTAATTGTTTTAGAAAAAGGTATGGTCGATAAAATACATTTGCCGAGCACAGGTATGTTAAAAATGTTTATTTTTGAATTCAATACAACAAATTCATTACAGGTGAAATATATACAATGCCTACTGGTGGCTCAGGTCGTAGATGCGGTGGACAAGGAGACTTGTTATGTGGCTCGTTGGCTATATTTTTTCATTGGTGTTTAGAATCTAACCAATCAAATCCGGGATTTTTAGCTGCCTTTGCTGCTAGCTACCTTGTAAAACAATGTAATTACAAAGCTTATCAGAAACATAGACGTGGCATGCTTGCTACTGATATGTTGAACGAAATTTCTGGAGTATTTAACGAAATTTTTGAAAATACGGACGTTTGTTAGAATTACAGCGATTATAACAGCAATTATATATATATATATATATAAACATATATATTGTTACAGTAGACTGCAGTGTTTTTTTCCTTAATCGATATTACTAATATATTTATTGTATAAATAGAATTAATTATATACTTATCGTTCAATATTTTTATATATATATACTTATCGTTCAATATTTTTATATGTATACTTAATCGTTCTAATGCTGATATATAACTATTTTAGTGTTTTATTGTAGTTGTGGTTTCTTTATATTATTAATATATAAATACTTTAATAAATATGATGATGTAATTCTCTTTTATACCACATTCACACTGTCTTATATCGGCACTTGCTCATTTATATAAATGAGAAAACGTTCACATTATAATGAGCTCATTTGTGCAACTGATATACATTTATATGCCAAAAAGACTTTAAAAAACTTTCTTTTGTTTACAAATAAAATGCAAAGAAATATTTCGATATTGTGTAAAATAAATCTTTTAAAATGAAAAACGCATTTTGTTTTGATATCTTTATATAAATAAATAGAACTGAATAAATTTTTATGAAACATGTTCGCTATTTAATATTTTAATATTTACAAAAATTATGTTTGGCTACAGAAAATTAGAAATGAAAGGAAAATGATCAAATCCAAAAAAAACTGATTACAAAAAGTCTAAAAATACTTTTAATAGGCCGTTTACATTGTGAAATTAAAAGTAAATTGAAGCAATAATCGAAATTTAAGTACTAATTTCGTTATTTAATCTCAGATTTCCCATACAAAAGTTAATCTCCTTTTGGTCGAGATTCTCTGCAACTGGTTTAATATCGTAGAATTTTTCACGATCTTAGAAGAATTGGAATATTCAAAACATTGAAAATGACGGAGTAAATTTTTAATCAATTTATTTAATATTACTTTTGTACATAATTATAACTAAAATTTGCTAAATTATCCATAAATATTTAAAAATATTTCAAATGCAATATGTTGCGTTATTTTATTGGTTTCCATTCTGATTTCTGTTTTGGCAAAATATCAACATCCTCATAAACGCATTTTTCTTTGTAGCGATTTACCTCTTTTGCCTTCACAAATTTATTTTCAAATCACACCTGCATAAGTAAACTTTCGTAACAAATATTTACCGCATTTCAGCGTGTCATATTTACTCGACAGGGCACGTTACGGCAAAGTTTTATAAGCTCCTCTTCAGAAAATTCCCGTTGCAAGTCTTGATCTGTTGGTTCCCATAAAATAGAAATATATTCGTAATTTTTAAAAGTTATAAACTGCAATTTTCCACTTACCTATATTTCTATTAATTGTTCATATAAGTTCGTTCGTTCGCAAGCGTTTACTTTGGTATGGATGTACCTTTCGACAACTTTCGAACAAAGTTATTCGCTGAAAAGAAATTTTGATTTCCACATTGGAAAAGAAACTACACACTACATACCAAAGAATATCTTCCAAAGAACACTTCAAGAGTTGAAATCGCCTATGAAACTTTATTTTTTATAACATTTTGGCACACGTATTGAATACATGTGATCTTACCACGATAACATCAAATTACTCTCTTTTGGGATTTTAGTATAATAATTTGTTGCTGCTTGCTAATCATATGTTTTCCTTTTAATAATATAAAAAACTTGTGCGTTCCTTATTTGGGTAATAATATCACATCACGTATAAAAAATGTATATTGTAACAAATAATATATGATAAATAAGTATATAAATTAATATATATAAACATTTAAATCAGTTTAGTTTGCTTAATCATGTAAAATATATATTCAGTATTTCATTTATTTTACAGTATTTTCATTTATTATGTTCGGCAACAAAACTTTTGTAGAAGCTAATTTTTTATTTAAAATAAAATTTAGTGCTAAAAAATCTATAGGTAGTGATAAGTCTGGCATCACTATAATAACTATTCCCGCTTATTTTACGTTATTGCTTTTTAAAGTGCAGTGTTTATTAAGCAAATGAATAAAACTGCATAAAAGTTAACAAGGAATTTAAATTCGATATATAAATACTTTACCAATAATAACTTTGTTTGCTTTTAAGCATTGTTTTATAAAAATCTGTTTTAAAGTATATTATTTACTGCCCTTCGTTTTGCTCTCAAATCGATATGCCCAATATTGAACCTACAACTGCAGAACAGCAAAAATGTGTGGAAAAGGCAATAAAAGTAAAGAATCCTCTTCTATACTTAGGAGAACTACAGTATCAATATAATACCGAAAATTATACGTTTTATTGCCGCACCAAAGCTGATATGAATTCAAAGGACCTTAAGTGGGCTTTCAAACTAGCAGAAACAAATGTATCCCAATTTTACAAGGAACTTAAACTTGGTTGGCAACCGAAGGTAGTACATAGCTAGTATTAAGGTGAAAAAATGTCATATTTCTCATATTTCTAGGTAAAACAAACAAGCCTTAATAAAAACTGGGCTCGTTACTTGGTAGCTAAATTTAAAGACACACCTGTTGCATACGCAATGTTCCGGTTCGATATGGACTATGGAAATAGTGTAATATATTGGTAAAAATGATATAAATCAAGCGAAAAACTCGGTTTATTAATATTATTGTTTCAGTTATGAAATGCAAATTGAAACTGCTTATAGAAGAAAGGGGCTAGGAAAATTTATGATGGAGACATTAGAGAATTGTGCTAAACATTGGCAATTGGAAAAAGTAATATTAACCGTATTGAACAACAATATTAATGCGATGTCTTTCTTTAAAACAATTGGATACATTCTAGATGACTCTTCACCAGACGTATTGGAAAAAGCGGAATATAAAATATTAAGCAAATGCACTTTGTAATTTATAAGAATATTTATTTGAGAAGTAAAATTTCTATGAAATTTGTAATATATAATTTTAAATAAAGTTTTTAGATTGTTCTTCCATGTAGTTAGCAACCTTAATGTCTTTCAGACTTAATCCGCCCACGTCATGTGTGGACATAGTTATTTGAACTTTGTTGTAAACGTTAAACCATTCTGGGTGGTGATTTAATTTTTCTGCAAGCAAAGCTACGCCTGACATGAAACTAAAAGCCTGATTAAAGTCCTTAAAAAGATATTCCTTGTATATAGCATCCCGTCCATTTACAAGTGACCAGCCTGCGTTTATTAATGGTTGTAAAAGCTCAATGCGTTCTGACTCCGATAGTTTAGCCTAAAAAGTGAAAATGTTATGGGTTTATACTCAAACAAATTTGTTGTCCTACCATTTTAAATTGTTAAAATAATATAATCACGTTTTGTACTGTATATCAATCTGTATACCAATGTGCGAATCAAATACTTTCAATTTTAAAGCTCAATTACAAACAAGTTTTCTGATTCACTTATCATTGCGATTAAACCTTTGCCATGAAAATAAATATTAAAGCGATAAGTTGTGCTCACAAATAAGTCTACCTTAAATATGTGTATGTACATAAATATGTACTTAGTTTTTATATACAAATGAATGCTTTCTGCTCACTTCAAATTTGCTCTAATTCTTTTTAAAAAAATATATTATCTTAAGAATTTTTTATTAATATACCATTTTTTTCTTCACCGATTGCGTAGCTCCGACTTGCGCTGTGAACGGCCTGATTGCAAAAGCTCTCTTTGCAAAGCTAAACGTAAACAATTTTTTTCAAAACCAGATTAGTGTATAGGTATGTACGTTTGCAGCTCACCCGTCTCTCTCAAGCATCTTGCTGCCGTGACTCAAGTCACCAAATTGCTTGAGTATATTATATGCAAATTTAAAATTTTTGTGAGTTATATTAGTTAACATTTCTAATATTACTGATCAACTTTTTAAATAGTTTCTGTTCACACACTTATATTTTTAAAACTGCACAGCTGTTCTACAAGCAAAGAATAAGTGCATGGACACAAAAACTTACTATACAGTTCAATGTCATAAACTTTAAACTTTATTATGTTTACATATATTCCAATAAAAGTTATATCTAAAATATCTTGTCATGTTGAAATTTATATTGTTGAAATCTATTTGTTATCTAAGTCCTCCGTTTCACCATTTCCGTAGTAATCATAATCAGTTGTGGTACGAAAAATTTTTTGTTGAAGCTTAATAGGTACTTCTGTGGATAATTCCATATCTGGTTTAATCGTAGATGCAGTTTCATCATTTTTATTATTTGATTCATTAGCTACCTTAAAACGTAAACGAAGACTGTAACGGCTGCGCACGAATGGTTGTAATGTTGAAAATGCTTGACACCCTTGTTATACATCAAAATATAGTAATTACATTTACATAAAAAATATCGCTCACCTGTCACAAGAAGCAATCCTAAGGTGATTAGAACTATTTTTATATTCATTTTGAAGAAATCCCGTTCAATTGGCTAAATCATACATCAAGACTACACATTACTGGGTTTTTATATAAAATTGTGAATACTTATATATAGATTTGCATGTTTAAATTTTGCACTATTCTTTGATGGGCGTACATATTAAAAATAAACATTGTATAAAACTGAAAGTAAATTATGCATTTATCATGCTGCGTTCATATGCAAAAAAATATAGAGATAATATTCTTATGGGATAAATAAATAATTTTAAAAATACACTCGCATATTATCAAGTTCAATTGACAATTTAAAAGTCATTGCACTTTATCATAAAATTTCGTTGGATTTTCAAAATATTCCTATATATTTTCCAAATTTATTGCGATCAAATAATTTGTGAACCTTTTTTAATAACATTGCTATATATATGTATTGAGTAAAGCAGGCAATTATTTTAATTATATTGTGTATATATGTATGGATGATGAGTACGCAATTACTGAATAGGAATTGTGGTTTACTCGTTACTCTACTTATATTTTATTCATCACTAGTACTGACGAATAACAACAACTCATGAAGACGAAATTGGTGTAAAATTTATAAAAATAAAAGGAAAATTTATTTCTAATCGTTGAGTTCGGTTTAATAATAATATATATTTAATAACAATAGTTATAAGATAAATTTAAAATATATCGAAACTGTAATATATAACAAAGTAAAATCAATTTTCTACAATAACTTAGTGCATACATTATTTTGGAGATGTGTGTGTATACAATTTTCAATGTTAATAATTTTTAATTTTAGTTGAAGTCTTCCGTTTTATATTTTGTGGACTATATTAAGTAAATATGGCAAATGTGCCTACAATACCACCTTTGCTGAGCACCACCCCTCCGCCAATTGACTTTGAGGATGATTCCGGTTTGCCTCCCACACCTCACAATCTGGATGATGAATTTGGAGATTTTGCAATAGCTGAAGAAGAAGATCTAAATGATGATACCTTAAACGTCAATGGTAAATAAGAAAATTAATTACTATGTTTAGTCCAAAAAAAAAACTTTATATTTAGTAATGTCGCTGCCAGTAACTCCCCTACATCAAGAAAATTTAAATGTAATTGAAGCAAAATATCCAAATGTGACAAACTATGACTACTGCGATCCATTCAAAATTGGTAAGCGTAAGAAACAAAATTATGTACAAAAATTATTATTAACTATAATCTATGAAAAACAGTTATGCATGAGTCTTTCACAAAGGTGGAACTTCCCATCGACAATAGTAACGATATTGCGAATAAAACCAATAGCGATGAGTGTTTCGATGAATACGAAATTATGCAAAATGAAGTCAGTACTCAGAAAATTACTACTGATGAATTACTTGTAACAAATAAGAATGCTGCAGTAGAAGTCAATAATATCATTGAAGACAGTATTGGTATAGTCGCTAGAAACGCTGATGTAAGCTTAGATCAAGATATAACCAAAGAGCCTTGTAGTGTTATCGATGATAACTTAATAGAAAAAGAAAAAATTACAAACATGGATAATAGTTCTTTGGTTATTTGTACAAAAAACAATGTAATTTTAGAAGATATCTTGGATGATAGCAGTGATGATGAAAATATTAATCTAAAGAGAAAAATTTTCAACATTGATGAAAACTCAGAAGACTTTTTCAAGATACATGCTTTAGAAAACACCAAGAAGACTAGTGCAGATGAAAACACTTTGCAAAACCAATATTTTCAACACAATGCAAATATTCCTCTAAATGAAAGTGTTTTGCACAATGAAAATATTGTACAAAATAAAAATATAATGGAAGAAGAAATAGATGATATAGAATTTGTAGAAAGTATTGAAAATATTGATTGTAATGATTTTGCATGTTTTGATAAAGCGAACTCAAATGTTCAAGATGCCACTTATGATAATATCCCTTTTACACCAATATCTAACGATATTACATTTAAAGCAGATTTTGACCAATTTTATAGCCAACCATCAATCACGAACTCAAAAATAAACTCTCCAAATTCAACAACTCAAAAAACCTTTGCTAAAAATAAAAGCTCAGTTTTAGAAGATGGATTTTCAACTATAACCGCAGATGATTCAGATAATGCGGATGGCAGTGATGATGACTTTGGCGAGTTCACTGATTCAACCTCTAATCAGGTGCCGAGTAATAATCTAGAAACGAATATAAAACAAACTGTTGAAAAAAAATTAAATCTAAATTTAGATAACGTAAACGAGCGTTTAAATCATGTATTAGAAATAATGTTTCCAAAATCAGTGGAAAAATGTTTAGATTATAATGTTACAAGAAAAGATTTCAACATTAACCCGCAATTGCACTCTATTGACTCAGCAAAAGCACTGGAATACCAGTGGGTGAATTCACAAATGAGAGATGCGTTGATTAAGTCACTTGGTATTGATTGCAGAAATATTGTAAGTTGTTTATTTTATTTTATATTTAAATAAATTGTACTAATGATAATAATGTATATTTTGAAAAAGCTTTTTGGTGAAAAGTGGAACTCATCAATGCCACGTTTTGCGGCTAATTTAAGTTATGATCCTCTGCAGCCTACTAAATCGCTATCATCAACTTTAACACATGAACTGCAACACAGCAAGGACAGATCACAATCTCAGAGTTCGAAAAGCACTGACATACCTACGGTCGAATTTGATTGGCATACTTCCGGTTTAGTAAATCCACTAGAAGGTAAGAAAATATTGTTCAATTATTAGTTTAAATATTTTTTTAAATATTATTTTTTCCAACACTTCAAAATAACTTTTGCCAAAATGAACTGCAAACATTTTATTAATAAATTTTGCGCTATAAAACGAACATTGTGTGTTGAATTTAAAAACAATTTTATTTTTTCGGTTCAATTTTATTTTGTTGTATTTAATTGCACAAATTTGAACGCTTAACGCTTCCAATTTAGCTGATTTTTAGTTTCGTTTTTAGTTTTTAACAGAATATAATAGAAAAAGATATTTACAGTCAGTTAAAAATATGTCATTAAGTATTTTATTTTTTTTTGTCTGACTTTTGAAGCTAGAAAAAAAATCCTTTCGCTAAAGATCCGATACACTTAACGAACATCTTCCACAAGTTTTTTGTTACTTTTTGTCACTTATACGGAACCGAATTGTTCAAGTTCTTATAATTTCTTAGTTTGTGCTTACAAACCACTATAATTTTGCTATAGGTAAATTATTTGCAAATAAGATATTTGATCCACACACGCTACCAAAATTTATCTGATCGTAATCCTGATGATGACTCTCAGGGAGAGTCGAAATATAGAATGTATTATAAAATATTAAACAAACGTTTAATTAAAAATTAAATTAATTAATTAAAATAAAATTGTTTACAATATATAAAGTTATATATAAATGCATGAGTGAGTGCACACACAGTTTTCCCTCCATAATTCGAACAATTACGTTCCAAGAGTTGTTCGGATTACCAAGATATCCATATTATCGAGATCATATTTTCTTTATTTAAAAGGATTTATATTTTTTTAATTCAAAAGTAATACAATATTTGTCTACCTTACTAGAATTAACTTTTTATATGTATTTGTATATTAACTATGCGGTACAGCGGCGGTACCCTGACTTTCGCAAGCAATTAACATATTTTTCTTGAAAAAATATGAAATGCGTTTAGACGTCTGTCAAAATTACTTTCTTAATATATGTTAAGTTAAATGTAAAGGTCCACAACTTAATTG